AAATCACACCTCAAAGCTGCATATCATGTGTTGAGATACCTTAAGGCTGATCCTTGCCTGGAAATTTTTCTATCCAACAATACAGATTGTAGCGTTACTGCATATTGTGATTCAGACTAGGCTTCGTGTCCTGATTCTAGAAAGTCAGTTAGTGGTTACATTGTCTTGATGGGTGATAGTCCCATCAGTTGGAAGTCCAAGAAACAAACAACCATCTCATTGTCCTCAGCAGAAGCAGAGTACAGGGTTGTTAGAAAGGTAGTGGGAGAACTGGTGTGGCTGGAGAGACTACTGACTGAATTACAACAACCATGTAACTTGCCTGTGTCTGTTTTCTGTGATAGTCAGGCAGCTGTTCATATAGCAAGAAACCCTGTGTTCCATGAAAGGACAAAACATATAGAGGTGGATTGCCATTTTGTCAGAGAAAAGCTACAAGAAGGCCTCATTGTACTTCACCACATACCAACTGGAGATCAACTGGCTGATGTTCTGACAAAACCTTTACCTAGTGCTCAACACTCTATTTTACTACACAAGCTGGCTGTGAGTTACTCACCTCCAACTTGAGGAGGGGTATTAAGATATATGGTTTAGTTTTATACTTAGTTTTATGTATAAGCTGGAAAGTAATTACAATAGCTGAGCTGTCAAAGTTAGTTAGTAGGATATGCTGAGCTGTCAGAGTTAGTTAGAAGTGCTGTCAGAGTTAGTTAGAATTGTATCAACTGAACATTCTAGAAGTTGATTTCGAGCATCTAATTAGTTAGTGTTAGATATTTTTTCTCATCATGTATATAATGTTGAACACTTAGCATGAATGAATTTCATTTCCCCAAATTACAGATTGTATATTCCTCTCTATTCTTATCCCTCAGTTTCAGTTTTTGCTCAAGTATTCATCAATGGGGAACTGTGATTCTCCTCAGTTCAACAGCTATTATGAGTTTATATTTAAATTTGCACACTCCTAACAAAACAGAGAAGAAATTTTGCACACTCTTCGCCAAATTTTTGGCTCTACCATTGCTCTCGGTTGTGGGATTACACCGAATATATTATTGTTATTGTAGTGAAATAATTTATTTATTTTTGGTTGGTTGGTGATTTTTGAAGTTTATGCACTTCTTAAATCTTAGAAAAATTTAAATTATAAGTGGACAATCAATAATAAAGAAAAACTCAACAATTTCTTTATAATACCATAGCAGCAACATACACAAATGAAAGAGAATGGAAGGATCTGCATTTTTATTTATTTTTTCAGCAAAGAGAAACCACTTTACTACTACTAAAAGTTGAGAAAACTCCTTCAAGCTTGTATGCACAAATGCATAAGGAACATATACTAATCTTATCCACAAATTCAAAATAATAGATATAAATACTGCCGGACAAAGGATATAGCATTAGATTCTATGAAAAAACCACCTCCTATAGCTCCAGATCAGCTTCTATATCAAAGCAGAGTTCAGTCTTCCTCTAAAACCATAGCGGAGGAGAAACACCGTTTCCCGATAGCCCTCATTTGCCAACCTTGTAACATTCAACCACGTCTACTATCTCCTCATTCAACCACTTCTTTTTGTATAGTATGATTGATTCTTTAAATTAGTGTTAATGGTATTAATTTTACAATTCTCCAAAGTTTCTTATTTACACAAAGTCTGTACCTCTCCTTCCCCTTTTCCTCCTCCACCTCTTTCAACTCCTCTGCCTCTACTTTCTGCAGTAAATACAATGAGCCGTGGAGGAAACTATACTTCACGATGAGTCGATGACTACACTCATGGAAGAAAAAGGCATGACACCAATGAGACATGGAAATTATACTTCACAACTTGAGGAATAGTAATTTTTTTTTTTACAATATCACGAATAGTTGGCCAACAATCAAATGAACAGAACTGTGAGATTAAAGGCATCAGAATGAAACTGCCAATTGAGGGACTTGATACCAATCTAATCATTCAGGAGGAAAGCAATCATAAATAACAAAAGGTAGCAGAAGATCTATGAAAGTTTTGTGGCTTAACAAGAACAAGGCGAGGTTTAGTGACTGATACAGCCTAGCTTTCATACATATAATTAAATATCAACTTCCAAATGATAAAATAGAGCAGAAGAGTTTGAAACAAATGTCGAAAGTTGGTGACTGATACAAGAGCCTTTCGAACAACTCATTCATTCAAATAGTGATGTAATTTGGATAAGAGAATGAATAAGGTGGCTGTTGTATCTTGATCCACAAAGAAACGTCAGGTCCATATCTTGATCCACTGGTCATGGTTCACTGAAGCTATGGTTCCACCCAAAGGTGAACCTGCTAGTGAAGTAATTATATCAGTATGTGCACTACATGACTGAGTTATGCTGCTCTGGCAGAAAGGATTCCAGAGCTCTAGGAAGTGCAACAACATGATTAGACAGGTATAAGACAGAGGGAAAAGGAGAAAGGAAAATCAACGACTATACACTTCAAACATGTAAGCTTTCATCTGACACACCAGTAACTCAGTTTGGAGATCTTATATTCCTGGATTGCTCAAGGTTGTGTTGGATAGTAGACGTGGTTGAATGTTACAAGGAGATCTTTCAGTAGTCTCCAGGTAATTGCTCCCGTCATATATCCACCAACAGCATATAATGAACCATTAAGTTCTGCTGCAGCAAGAGCAAATCTCTTCTGCAACATGGACTGTGTATTGATCCATCATCCTACTTGAGGATCATACATTTCAACCTTCCAATCCCATTTCCACCACCAACTGCAAATATTTTGTCCTTCAAAGCTGCACCAGCTAAGCTACCTTTTTTCTCTTTCATACAAGGTAACACAGTCCATTCATCATCAGTTGTGTTATATGATTCAACTGTGTCGTACCATACAGTTGCAGTTCCACCACCAAATACATAAAATTCTCCAATCAGCTTTGCAACCGAGGCATATGCACGGACTGAATTCATTGGTTTAAATGACTTTAATTAATAACACATCGAATAAGTCCAATGCAGATAACCATGACACACCATCATATATTCCAGTTAGGAAAATCATCTCATGCTTCAGGTGTGCATCATTAGTATGGTCGATAATCATTTCATCAGCACGTGTACAAACAGTATTTGAGGACTCCAGCATCATACATTTATATGTTAACTGTTTAATCTCTTGTTCTGCATCAGCCATCCTCCGCTCCAAACCTATTGTGAAAAGAAATTAGTTGATTTAGGCATATATATTGTCAAATACCTTCCGTTCATCAGAGTGCAAATCTAATGCAGTTACCAACATGAAACAGTAAAAATATTGATATCACTAGAATTTCATTAACAGTAATCTGATGCATTAAAAAGCAAAAATAGATAGAAAAAAAAAACTCACTATAACCAACTTAGAACTAAAATGAAATATTTCAAGGGAAAAAGAAACAATCAACTATATAGATGCATGCATTTTGAACATCTGCCAATCCACCAAGCAGAGGACTAAAAAATTCAAATAAAACTTATTTAGAAGAGCAAAGCAGTAGAAGCAACCACTTCAGAATAAGATGATAAATTATTGCAGAAATGAGAAAATCAATAAACGGGGAGATATAGAACAAAGTATCCATATTTGGACCAAAACATAGCAGTTGCAAAAGATACTTAATCATATCAGTGAGCTTCTAATAAAATTCATTCCTTTATCAAATTATAAATCTTTATGGACCAAAATATTCAAAATGAGAAGAAAACCAAGAATCGGCTGTCGTAATTCCATTATCAAAAAATGGATAAAACAAAGAAAGGATGAAAGAGAAAGAAGAAGAAGAAGAAGAAAAAACAACACACATGCATTATATAACTCAAATTTAAACTTCAAAAAGATTTTGAAATTGTTACCTGAACTGTATTTGCTCTTTCTGTGTTGTGATTTTTTATTGTGGTGGGAAATTTCCGCAATAGCACCAGAGGCGTATGTACATGAAGGGGAGGGGGTTCACATGCACCCATCCTCCCCTTCCTAACCCCTATATAATACTACTATTTTTCTAATTATTTTTTAAAATTTGTATTGGTGAACCCAAGGTTAAAAAGAATTCTCTAGTATATTGATAAGTAAGTACAAATAGGGGTGCATAACTTATAGATTTGTGGTTCAAATTTTTCTATCCACATTAACATTTTTAATTTTTAATTAATATAACAAAATGTGCCACTTTTCATAGATCTTTTTAATAATTTATAAATAAAAAGAGGTTCAATTACCCATATTTTTAGGTTGCATTAGCTATGTCTAGACCTTAAGCTAGAAGTGTCAATAAAGTCAAATTATATTTTTTACTTTCTTTTTCTCCTTTCCTTCTTTATTTAGACGTTTTTCTTATTTATTTATTTTAACTTTTTCTTTTGACTTTTCAAGGCCCTAAACTAAAAGGTAAAAAGGAGTAAAGACATCATATTGTTATTCTTTTGGCTTCATTCCACATTTCCACTTTGTTGTTCATGGTGAAGTAGAAGTGAGATTTGAGAACAAGTAACAAGGTATGTTATCTAAAAAAAAAATTATTCATTAATGTACTTCATTTGTTTTATATGTTTTTCTTGATTTATGAAGTGGTTCCATTATTTGATTGCTTGAATATTTAAATTTATAAGAATTACTTGATTTCTAAATAGTTATCTATATGTTTTTCTTGATTTATGAAGTGGTTCCATTATTTGATTGCTTGAATATTTAAATTTATAAGAATTTCTTGATTTCTAAATAGTTATCTATATGTTTTTCTTGATTTATGAAGTGGTTCCATTATTTGATTGATTGAATATTTAAATTTATAAGAATTTCTTGATTTCTAAATAGTTATCTAATAATTGTGATTCTTTTATTAGTAAACTTGTTATTTGTGCTAATATTTTTTAAAAATTATTTTGTTTTTATAAGATTGAATAGAAGTGTGAATATTTAATTTTGTAGGTAAAATAATTCTTACAATCAATTCATCAAATCACAAATGGATAAGTTTCTCATCAAGTTACCAAAGCCAAAAGATGGCCAACCAAGTTCTAGCTCTAATCAACCATTTGTGAGTTCACAAGTTGCTCCGGAAGTTCAAAGACATACAAATTCTTTTCCACTTTCAAATATGGATAATATGCTTGATTTTAAATCTCTTGAAGCAGATCCCAAAGATCGAATGCCTATTTCATCTTATGATCCTAATATTCGAGATGCGGTAAGGAGGTATTACATTCAAAAAAAGCCATGTCAGCCTGTTGATCATATCTTCCCTAAAACTAAGTTTGGAGAAAAAATGTGTCAATTTCGACCAACTTGGTTTAAGAGAATATCTCAATGGTTGGAATATAGCATTAAAGCAGACGCGACATTTTGTTTGTGTGTTATTTGTTCAAGAATGAACTTGAAAGTCGTGGAAATGCCGGAGATTCATTTACAAGAGATGGTTTAGGTGTTGGAACAAAGCTTTAGAAAGATTCAAAAAACATGTTGGTAAGGTAAATAGTATCCATCATAAATGTTTCAATAGGATGCAAGATTTGAAAAGCCAACGACAATCGATCCAATCTTCTTTTGACAAGCAAAGTGAAAAGGCAAGAAGTGATTATCGGATGCGTTTAAATGCCTCAATTGATGTAGCAAGATTTCTCTTGACATCGGGATTTCCATTTCGTGGGCATGATGAAAGTGAAGGTTCCGAATATAAGGGTGCTTTTCTTGAACTTTTGAAATGGTATGGGGATAGAAGTTTTGATGTGGGAAGAGTAATATTAGGTAATGCTCCACAAAATGATATGATGATTTGTCCGACAATTCAAAAAGATATTGTGGAGGCTTGTGATAAAGAAACAACTAAGGCTATCATTGAAGACTTGGACGGTGATTATTTTGGAATATTAGTTGATGAATCAAAGGATGTTTCTCATAAGGAGCAAATGGCTCTAATTTTGAGATATGTCAACAAAAGTGGAATGGTAATAGAGCGATTCTTGGGTATTGTCCACGTAAATGATACATCTTCTCAATCATTAAAAAAGACAATTTATTCTTTACTTTTGGATCACTCATTATGTACATCTAAAATACGTGGTCAAGGTTATGATGGGGCTAGTAATATGCAAGGGAAAATAAATGGTCTCAAGTCTTTGATTTTACAAGATACGTCATCTACATATTCTATTCACTGTTTTGCTCACCAATTGCAATTGGCACTTGTAGGTCTTTCCAAAAAGAATTCGGATGTGGATAAATTTTTTTATGTTCTCACTAATATTTTGAATACTATTGGAGCTTCATTTAAACGCAGAGATTCACTTCGACAACATCAAGAAGATAAGTTGGAAGAGTTGCTTAAATTTGGAGAAGTTCATACAGGGCAAGGTTTGAATCAAGAACGTGGCCTCCAACGACCGGGTGATACTCGTTGGGGGTCTCATTTTAAAACCTTGGACAATTTCCTGATTGTTTTTTCTTCAATTGTTAATGTGCTTAAGGATATGAAACGTGATTGTCCATATCATCTTGATAGATTTGCAGCGGAAAATCTTTTGAGCAAGATTCATGAATTTGAATTTGTCTTTATGTTGCAATTGATGTTTAAGGTGTTGCTATTGACGAAAGAGTTGAATAAAGTTTTACAAAAGAAAGATCAAGATATCGTTAATGCTATGGGATTGCTTGACCTTTCAAAGAAACGATTGCAAATAATGAGAAAGGATGAATGGGACTCTATGATGGATGAGGTTAGCTTATTTTGTGGTAAACATGGAATTTCAATTCCCAAAATGAATGAAGACTACTCTAATGGGAAGTCGAAGCGTAAGAGGTCCAATACTTCATATTTGCATCACTTTCGTGTGGAAGTATTTTATGCCGTCATTGATTTGGCACTTCAAGAACTCAATAATCGTTTTGATGTGGTGACTAGTGACTTGCTCCTCGGTATGGCTAGTTTGAGTCCCGTTGATTCATTTGCTAATTTTCACAAGGATAGGATAATGAAACTAGCCGAGTACTACCCAAGTGAGTTTGGTGATAAAGAGCTTCGGGAACTCAATTTTCAACTTGATGATTTTATTGTCTATGCTCAAAAGTGTGATAGCAAGTTTCTCAACTTGAAGGGAATCAAGGATCTTGCAAAAGTGATGATAGAGACAAAACTAGATCAAACTTGGTCACTTGTGTATCTACTTGTGAAGTTAACTTGATTATTCTTGTTGCTACCGCAAGCGTGGAAAGAGCATTCTCATCAATGAAGTACATAAAGAATGATTTGCTAATAGGATGGATGAAGATCTTTTGAATGGTTGTTTAGTTTGCTATATAGAGCGTAGTATATTTAAAAATGTAAGTAATGATGCCATTATTGACCGTTTTCAAAATATGAAAACTCGTCGAGGACAATTGTAAGTGAATGATGTTTTTTGCTAATATATTACTGTATAAAGATTGCTACTACTTACTTGCTCGTCAACTTGTTCTCACCGTAAAATTTATATAATTGAATTAATTGTCTATTTTGAAGATAATGGTGCCCCATGTTCTTGAGATCCTGGATACGCCTCTGAATAGCACAGAGCAGATTTTTTGATTTCACGTAAATAAAGAAAACACCAAGAAAATTAAGAACGACATAATCTAATTTTGATGATAGTGTCTCTACAATTTCAAGAGCTTCCTTACATGAATAATTTGATATGGAGAAGGTGGACATGGGTTAAGTATTAGGAAGACAAATGTAACAACACGCAGATGAAAGGAGAACCTATTTATTCCTTAAAATTACAAAAACGCCCTTGTTTGTATGCTGATTGAAATTGCACCGTACAACTATTTGGAGTTGTGTTCGTCCTTCACAACTCCCCCTTCTAAATAAGGGTAAAATATAATAAATATAATATGATCAATTTTTCTATTGCATTGGAACGGTAAATTGCAGTGAGCAATTGCTTTCCAAGTGTAAAGATCAAATATTGTTTCAAATATAGAAGCATGGATATTAATAACCAACTAAATTAAAAGGAGAAGTTTTCTTCTTCTTTTTTTCTTTAAAAAAAAAAACTTAGATAAAATCCGCTTACTCATTTTTTGATAGCACAATAATGTATGGTTTAGACTTACATTTTTCAAAGCCAATGTTTCTGTGTATACATAGTGAGAGCAATTAATATAATTAAATATGTAACACACGTTATAGATGAATAAGTTATTTATTATTTTTTTATTAAATGGTACATCTCTTAATTAAAATTAATTAACCATATATTCATCTATAACGTCTGTTGTTTATCTAAATTCTATTAATTGATTTCACTATATATATAGGTGGTAACATTGTCTTTGAAAAAGATAAGTCTAAACCATACATTATTGTGCTATAAAAAAAAGGGTAAACAATTCGTTTTTGAGTGTTTTTTTAAAAAAAAAAAAAAGAAGAGAACTTCTCCTTTTTATTTAATTGGTTCTTGATATCCATGCTTCTATTTTTGAAAGAATTTGTATTCTTTACACTTGGAATTTGTTGAATGGAAACATTTACTTTAGTTCATGTGCGTGTGGTAATTGGTCAGGTCGAATTAAATTTAGATGAGTCATATGGATCTTAATAATAAATGAGTCAAGGTCCAATTCAATTCAAATATATTTGGAGCAAAAGTGTTTGATCAAAATGGGTCAGATAATATATCATAAAACGGGTCAAAACCCAGCATAATCTATTTTTACTAAATTTTAAATATTTTATTTGTTCTTTTAAAAAATATTTAGTACCTATTAGAATTGTTTTCTCTTTCTTTCTCTCTCTCTCTCTATATATATATAATTTTATTTTATTTTAAAAAAAATATTTTGACAAGATCTCTTGAGTCAATTTGTATTAAGTATAAACCATTTTTTAATGAGTTAAAATAAATTGGGTTAATAAATAAACGAATAAATAACCCATGATTAGATGGATTGAATTTAATTTTGCTACCCATAAGTTTATACATTATGAGTTTTTGAAAAGTGGTTGCCCACTGCATTTACCATACAAATGTACGTAATAGCAAAATTAATCTTGTGATTTTAGGCGTAATATCATATCAACCATTATTATTATTATTATTATGCCTTTAATAATCAAGTGAAGTGGTAATCTAAATATGTGAGTGCACTCTCTGCTTATACAGTATTTTTAGTTTATAAAAGAAATTAAAAAATTATGCTTATGAAACTCTTTATTATATAATTTGTTTATTTTTGCAGGAACGTAAGTATGAATAAAATAATGGTATTAGAGGGAATTTGCATGCTATTCTTTATACTTTCTATAGCATCTGCATGTACCCGATCTCCTTCAACAACATCAGGAGGGTGTTATCGCCTGTGTACTGATCATTGGATTCGGACAAGACAAGAGGTTCCTCCACCAAACATAGATAAAGCGTGTAGAGATGGATCACTTCTTGAATTTAATTGTTATCTTGGATAATGACTATGATAACAACCTTTTTTAATATTTCCAAACTATATATCGTCATACTTGATAAAAATAATGCAATATAATAAAAGTTTTATTTAACACTCTGATTAATTCTCCAATTTTGTAGCTATGAACAGTGTAAGTTTAAAATGGTATTGATTAAAATAATTTTAAATTTTTAATCTAAAATAAGGTATATAAAAAAAAAGTAAAAGTATTAAGAGGGGGAAAAGAAGAAGAAAAGATTAACTAAAATATATATATATATATATATATATATATATATATATATATATATATATAAGAAGTAAAAGTAAGTAAAGTAAATTAATAAAAGGGAAAATTGTTAAGTAATAAATTGTAATTACAAAAGTACCCCTAGTGTATTGTCATAAGCTTCTCAATCTATTCTCTTTGATTACTACTTATTAGAAGAGGCTATAAGCAGGCAACACTTCGTTAACATGCCTGCTTGTATGCCATGGATAATTTGGTAATTGTATAAATCATAATAATTTATAGCTTAAAATATTTAAAGCATATAAAAAATTCCATTAATTACTCTCAAATTTTTATTTATACCACATAAATTAGGGTAAATGAAGAAATATATATTATATAAAATACATAAAACATACTATAACTCACAATATTTATAGTTAAATATCAAAAAGAACTTATAAAAAAAACTGACTGACTTTAAAATTTTATTTGTATCACATAAATCAAGACAAATGGAGTAATATATATTATGTGAAAATTACATAAAAATATTATAAATCATAATAATTAGCAAATTAAACTATATATATATATATATATATATATATATATATATTGGCTGACTCTCAAATTCATCTGCATCACTTAAATTGAGACAAAATGAGTAACATATATCAAGTACAAATTACATAAAATGTACTATAGGTGGTAATACTTAACAATTTAAACTATTAAAACATATTAAAAATTTGGTTAACTTTAAATTCCATATGTATCACATAAATTGAAAATAAAAAGTAACATATATTCGGCTCGTGCTGACACCGGTTTCATATATAGTTTAAAAAGAGAGGAGTAAATTTTAGGTTTAGCAAACATAAAAATCATATATGTATGCTATAACTATAGTTTGTTTAATCCATAGAAAATTTTATGTTTGCTATGACTATTAATCTGTATATTTCGGTATACTTATACATAAGAATCAATTGTATAAGTATATATTTGGAATCTGTGTACAAATAAGAAACTGACTTGGTTATTGTAAGTTGTATAAGTACATGTTTTTTGTTGTGATATTCAGTCGTATATGTATATGTGTATTATATGTATTTAAATATAAATATGTATACAGATAAATTTGTATACAAATCTCTCTCCTGCTTTATACAAACACAAATTATACATTGTATATAATTTGTGTTTGTATAAAGTGAGAAAGAGAGAAAGAGAAAAGAGAACTGGGCAGGGGGGAATTTGTATTGTATAATTATAAGTGTATAGGACGAAGAGATTTTTTTTTGTATTTGCATATACAGTTTTCTCTCGCTTTATACAAACACAATTTATACATTTGTATTTGTATAGAGTGAGAAGCAAGGGAGAGTGGCGAGCGATATTTCTAGGGAGAGAGGAGAATGACAAAGTGTTTGTTACGAATTAGAATTAAATGAAACTGTGGTTAAAGAATTTATTTTGATTAATAGTTTGCTATTTTATACGATTTTCCCAAAAGAGAATGCAATATTATGAGATGCACTACTCCGTTTTGTAATTACTAAATGTAATTTCTTGTAATACTTATAAATCATAAAAGATGATTTACTTCCCCCATTTCACCTTAATTTGCAAAATAAAACATTAGAAACATCAATAAGGGACCTAAATCTAACTCCACCTTTCTTCTTTGACCGACACAAAGTCTCCTAGCTCACCCACTATCTATTCTTTTTATTCCCAAACTTTTTGATGATATCGTCTAGTAACATCTTATTGATAGTAAAATAATATTTTAAAAAAATAAACAATTAAACTCTAATCTTTAAGTTCTTAACAAACCTCAAAAGAGCACTTTATACTCTAATCGTTAAGTTCTTAACAAACCTCAAAAAATTAGTATAGGTGCCTCTCACAGCGATTTAGATTGTGACATATTTTAATCATGACAATCAAAATTTATGCTAGATGTACAACAATTAAAAAGTCATTTAACTTAAAATATTATGCTACATGTACAAATAAAAGACTCTTGTTCTAAAGTGTGTTTATGATTCATATGTGCATATCGGCCAATTCTTCAGGTGTGTGATTATTTTTTTTTGGTTAGTTAGCCCATTTCCAGTACTACTCTTTTTTTAATCCATTTGTAATTTGGTATCTCCATTAAAACTTGACTATTTCTAGTACCTACTCTCTTCTGGTGGATGTAAGTTATTTTGTGTTTGTCTTGTTATGATCCAAAACTGAACGTGTAACATCTCGCAATTCGAAATAACTAGGAAGAAGCTTATAATTGGAAATAGTTATTTTTTTGGAAAGAATTTAAAATCTGGAAAATCTGTCTAAGTTAGGAAGAGTGAGTTTTGGTCATTTTCAAACGGCCATAACTTCTAGCTCAGGATGAGATACGTATATTTCCAGATATGGTTGGAAAGCCCTTGGAATAATCTTTCCAACGCCACCAAGTTTGGGCAATTCTGAGTTCGGATGAGTGAGTTATCCTCTTTGGAAGTTGGGTTGTTG